GCCTGAAACCCTGGACAGAAAGAAAGGTCTCCCCAGCAGATCATAGACCTAGGATATGCTCATATGTGAAGATACAGTCCTTCAGCTACCCTGGACCTGGATATATAGGATTGTATAAATCAAAGCAAGCACTTTGAATTGTGTCCAGAAACAGACTGGCAGCCAGTGGAGCTGTTGCATAAAGGGGATTGTGTGCTCTCTGTAGCCAGCACCCATTAGTAATTTGGCTTCAATTCTTTGGAAAAACTGAACTTTTTGAACATTCTTCAAAGGCAGCCCCACATAGGGTACAGTTGTTGATGCTTCATATCCAACTTGAGGCAGCCCTAAGGCTATGTGATTTGCAGAAACAATTGTCCTGGTCCAATGTCATGGAAGTCTCTGGCTGTAACACAGGACTTCTCTGTTCCCTATCAGTTGCCCTGACATCAGCCAGAGCGACAGGGTGCCAAGGGAGGGAGGGAGGAGGAACTCTTCATCCTCTCTCCCTCCCTTCCCAGTGCTTTCCACCACCCTGCTTAGAATCAGGTGAAGCAATGGGGAAGAGGTAGAACCCTTGTTGTGGCAGATACTGCTGCAAATCGTGGGGCGGGGACTGCCATTCTGTGTTCCCAGGCTGCCTGACCACAGGGAATACGGGATGACAGAGGGACAGTTGTAGTCTGTTCCCTTTGGGAACCAGCCTAACTGACCCCACTGGCATGAAGTGAGGAAGAATTTGGGCTTTCCTCTAATGTTTGGTAACTTGGAGTAAGACCCCATTAAGGTGGCCTTGCCCTGTTTTTTCTGCAGATCAGCTCTATGTGGTATTTGGCTACTGTGGGATGGATCCTAACCTAAACTCATCTAAGTGGTCAGTACAAATGGGGCTCTAGAGATTCCTAGAGAGGTATTCTGCTCTGTTATCACTGCTATAATTGCTGTCGTTAACTGATGATGTGTTTTTGTTGTCATGTAATGCGGGCATTGAACTGTGCCTTGCTTGTGTAAGCCGCCCTGAGTCCCCCCTGGGGTGAGAAGGGTGGGGTATATGCAACCATAATAAATAAATAATAAATATTCTCTTGGGTTAAAAATGTGCTTTTTAATTTTGCCATATTTTCACTTTCATGGGAGTCCCTAGCAAATGTAGAAGGATGACTGTACTCAATACATGAGTGGCTAGGATAGTAACACCATTGCTTTCTGATGATTCAAGGCACACAAACTTTGTTTCAAACTTTAATTTCATATGAAATATTTGCAAAATTATTACAAATGTTTCATATGAAATTACCTTCAGACTATGTGTATACAGTGTGTATCAAACAGACTTTCATCCCATCTCCAAGATATTACATTATGTACTCATATAAAAATTCACATTTTCCAAAATGTGAATTTTTGGAACACTTCTGGTTTTTGGAACACTTCTGGTTCCAAGCCTTTTGGATAAAGGTTACTCAATCTGTTAGGAGCCCCTGGTGGTGCAATGGGTTAAACCCTTGTGCTGACAGGACTGCTGACCGACAGGTCAGCGGTTCAAATCTGGGAAGAATGGGTTGAGCTCCCTCTGTCAGCTCCAGCTCCCCATGTAGGATGAAGCATACCACAAGGATGGTAAAACATCAAAACATCTGGGCGTCCCCTAGGCATCCTTGCAGACTACCAATTATCTCACACCAGAAACAACTTGCAGTTTCTCAAGTCGCTCCTCACATAGGGAAAAAACCTCAATCTGTTTAACTCTTCAGTTCTATTTCTATCTTTGCTCTGGCCTTGATGTTCAACTGAATAGGTTCCATAAGCAATTAAAAGAAAAAAGAACATGCTCATTCAAGCTCTGACTTGCTTCCTCAACACCATCTGTTTTTTTAAACAATCCCGGGAATTTGGTTTCTTTGTACTTTAGTCTTCTATTCATGTTTAAAGCTCAAGAGAACTAGGATTTAATACCCAATGTTGTTTTCAGATGTTGTAAAATCAACTCAATAATATCTTTATTCGTGTTGCCTTGAATCAACTGACTATATTAATTCACTAACCATAGGGCAGGAAAAGTGGTGACCCTCTGCCTGCCTCCCCTTGCTGTAAAGTGTGCCATCTGCTCAGCCCAGGAGCACAGCTGTTCAAGGAATACCTCTAACAGAAAATAATCTGAGACATTTCTTTCCTGGAGAATACTGAATTACTCCTATATTGCATCCTTACAGCTTTAGAGGCAAAAATGGAAAGAGGAATAATCCCAATCAAAACTTTCTTTCATTCAGTTAAGTGGAAATAAGAAAAGCTTTTTTTCTCGTGTTGAAAAGTTGTCTTGGACATAAAATATTCACCAGAGGATGATCAGGCCTCATTTCCATTTGTGTAAGCAAACCGTGGAGGCCGTGACAGACTTTGTATTTCTAGGTGCAAAGATTACTGCAGATGCAGACTGTGGCCAGGAAATCAGAAGACGCTTACTTCTTGGGAGGAGAGCAATGTCCAGTTTCGATAAAATAGTAAAGAGTAGAGACATCAGACTGGCAACAAAGATCCGCCTAGTCAAAGCCATGGTATTCCCTGTAGTAACCTACGGATGTGAGAGCTGGACCTTAGGGAAGGCTGAGCGAAGGAAGATCGATGCTTTTGAGCTGTGGTGTTGGAGGAAAAGTTCTGAGAGTGCCTTGGACTGCGAGAAGATCCAACCAGTCCATCCTCCAGGAAACAAAGCCCGACTGCTCACTGGAGGGAAAGATACTAGAGACAAAGTTGAAGTACTTTGGCCACATCATGAGGAGACAGGAAAGCCTAGAGAAGACAATTATGCTGGGGAAAGTGGAAGACAAAAGGAAGAGGGGCCGACCAAGGGCAAGATGGATGGATGGCATCCTTGAAGTGACTGGACTGACCTTGAAGGAGCTGGGGGTGGTGACGGCCGACAGGGAGCTCTGGCGTGGGCTGGTCCATGAGGTCACGAAGAGTCGGAGACGACTGAACGAATGAACAACAACAAGCAACTTTTTGGCCCATTTGAAATGTTATCCATATTCAACCTATATGAATATTTCTAAACATATACAGGCAGTCTTTCAGTTACAAATATTTGACTTACAGCCGACGCATAGTTAAGAACGGGGTGAGACAACAGGAAGATAGAAATCTACCTCTTCGAACAGAAATTTGATCCTGAAGAGTTATCATGAGAAAAATATGTGTCTACTGAAGCTTTATCACCAGTCTTTGTTTCTACAACAAGCCACATCTTTCAAAATCCAATTATCACAGGAACAAAAAGTGAGGTGAAATCTTCTGAACAGGGGCACAGATAGCAAAACAAACACAAGGCTGCTATCCAAAGGTAGCTAGCTATCTAGATATGATTAGAACAACACTTAAAAATGTATCTGTTCTGACTTAGGACTCTTCCACACAGCCCTATAGCCCAGAATATAAGGCAGAAAATCCCACAATATCTGCTTTGAACTGGGTTATCTGAATCCACACTGCCATATATCCCAGTTCAAAGCAGATAATGTGGGATTTTATTCAGCTGTGTGGAAGGGGCCCAAGATACAAATTGAACTGAAGAACAAACTTACAGAACCTATCTTGTTCATATGGAGATTGCCTGTATAAATATTTCAACTGGACTTAAGCAAAGCAGTGTGTGGCTTTATATGGAAGGATTCACTACTTAATCTGTATTTTGATTTTTCTTTCTCCACACTGTAATTTGGTGCATAGTTAGTGTTAGGAAATTTCCCCAAAAAAAGAAGCGCACCCATAAATACAAACAGGATACTTAATTGAGCAGTCAGCTCACAGCAAGCAGAAGGTGAAGTGTTGTGGCTGCAAAATAATTCTTGAACTTAAGAGACAAAGATCAGAGTTCAATTTTTAAAGATTCAAAAGGTTTATTTAATATATATAAAATATATATTTATATATAAAATATATAATAACTATATTGAAAGAAAAGAATTGGGTCTAAGATTTTCTCTAACTCCATTTCTTATAAGTTTCAAAAACAAGACGAAAAAAATCTCCAAACACTCAGTTTTTTCAAATACACAGAGAAGAGAGAGGTCTGCATGTAAAGGTGGAGAAAGCAGAAAAAAGGAACACAAGGTTTCAGTTAGAAAATCACCAGTAGGTTTCCATGGCCAAACAGAGATCTGATTGCTGGTCTCCCCCAGTATCTTGATCCAACACTCAAACCACTGTACCACATTGTCTTTTAATCCTATGTATACATTTGCACTGTATAATACATAAACGTGTTGTGAAATTTCATTTTTAATCATACAATATATTTATAATATCCATCATATGAAAAAGTGGTGAAAGAGCACTCTGTCATGGTACCCAAGCGGGCTGCATTTAAGGACTTGGCTGGCAGCATGCAGGTGACAGGTTATACACCTCTGCTTCAGCTTAAATAACCAAATAGCAATTCTGTGAGTTAAATATGCTTTACATTAAAGATTACTTTTGGAGTGAACCCATCTTCAATGTTTTATTTTTCAGTAGTGAAAACACTTAGCTTTGCTTGCTGTTATGCCTCTTATCCTATACCCATACTTGTTCAGTGACTACAGGCATGAGCTTAGCAGGAGTAAAATGGCTTTGTTCCCCTCCGTGCCTTGTCTCTTTCTCTCTGCTCTGTTTCTTCTCCCTTGCCTGAATCCCACCTTTGACTGAACATGCTTTTATTGATGGATAAGACACAATTTTTAACTATAGCTCTACTTTTGCTTTCTGGCATCAGGGTGGACTGGAAGGTAATTGGTAAGATGTTTGCTGTTTTCCTTTCCTTTTGCATTGTGTTTCACAACATTTTCCTTCCCTCTGTTCTATTGTAGTTAAATCTGCTTGACACCAACAATGCTCCCAGTCTCAATCCCCCCTCTCTCTTGCCTGTTCCTAAAATTTGATCCTATATTTTTCCTGGCAAGGTCATCTCTGGCCCAGCCGACATAATTTGAACTGAAGCTGCTTTGATCCTGAATGAATCAATGTCACCTTCTGGATCCTTGCAGGTGGACGAAAAGCGACCAATGGAGAGGAGGTGGTCAGAGGGAGACAAGCATGCTGTGAGTGGAGTCATCAGAAAGGTAAGAATGGTCTTTCAGGCCATGATTTGAATCTGACCTGATGGCAAATAACAACAAGGGTGCTTACATGCACATCCTCTTGATAAAGCATATGCTGCTTCAAACAGTGGGGCGTGAATGATGATGATGATGATGATAATAATGCAATCTTGCATTGTCATACCATAGTGTAAACATCACTGCATGTAATCTATATACTGCGTACCATCAAATGATGCAACATATGAGAATGGATACATGTGTTCTTTCTTTTAAAAATGGATTAAGAACCAAATCTCTTACAGAAAGGAGTTCTGTACAATAATATTTTTGTTTCTTGACAGGAAAGGTTATCAATCAATCAAATAGTTTATTGTACAAGCCTGAGATCATGACAAATAAGTAGAGATACAGGGTGAACTGAAAAGGAAAAGTTATCATCCAAATGCCTTTGATGGTTCCTCTTTTGCAGTTGTTTTTCCCTCCCAGCTGAATATGGATGACTTTCATTATTTTTCTGATTTGATGTTCAGGTTGAAAGTAGGCCTTTCAGGGGAAACTGTTTCTCTTTTCAAAACTGAATTGTGATAATATCTACTTTTTTCAACCTTTCTTTTTAAAGGTATCTTGGTTGCTACTTCAGCACTATTCTTTTGTGCCCATTTATTGCACTCTTTCTTCCTTTATGCATAAGAAATAATTCCTGGCCAGTTAGAGGATGAGGAAAAGAATAGGAAGATGGCACTGAGCTATATGGTCAATTAGATTGGGCAGAATGTGATGATCATGTTATGTGGCTAGTTAGACCTGGAGATTTTCTGCCTGTATTTCCAAGAGATTTGCAGGATTTTTTGGAGGCAAAGCTCATGGAATCGTTACAGAGGTTGAGAGTGATGTTTTTAGACCAGTGATTCTCAACCTGTGGGTCCCCAGATGTTTTGGCCATCAACTCCCAGAAATCCTAACAGGTGCTAAACTGGCTAGGATTTCTGAGAGTTGTAGAGCCAAACACCCGGGGACCCACAAGTTGAGAACCACTGTTTTAGGTAGTCCTTGTTTTGCAGGCATACAGTAGAGTTGGAAGGACAATAGCTTTATAAACAACATCTTGCAATGCCAAAAATAAAGCTTAATGGTGTAACACTAGAAAATGTTGACCATTTCCGCTACCTGGGCAGCCACCTCTCCACAAAAATTGACATCGACACCAGCTTCTTTTCGAACAAAGCAGAGTGTTTGAGAATGGAGACATTCGTACCTTTTTCTTATCCTGTGTTCAACTCACATTGAAGAGCACTATGGACATGAGTTATACAATCATCCCAGTGCCAGGAGAAAATGGTTAGGGATTGAAGACAGGAAAAACAAGAAGCTGGTCATTGGGCAAATCAGCCCTCAGCCTGGTGCAATGAGAACTACATTCCAGCTGAAAGTTTTCAAGTGTTATTCAGCACACAGAACGCCAGAGGGTGCAGAAAGCACAGCATGACCTTGGGTATCCTTCTGCAAATGAAATGTTTTCACAGAGATAATGAACAAAGTTGATTGCCAGGTCCTATCAAGATAGGCTTTTATTTCTAGTTCACTATCAAAGCACATGATGCTTTGCTCAAGTTCAAAATGTATGAGTTATGTTAGCCACCGTGGCAAAAATCCTCAATCTGTGAAATGTCTGTTCAAGGAAGACTGTTTCCCGTACTTTCAGACCTAGTTGTTGTTGTTGTTATTGTGTGCCTTCTTGTCATTTCTAACTTTCAGGCGAAATAACCATAGAGGGAGTTTGCCTTTCCCTGAAGCTGATGGAGTGTGATTTGTCCAATGGATTTCATAGCTGAGCAAAGATTTGAACCCTTGTCTCTAGAGTTGTAGTGCAATGATCAAACCACCCCATGCTGGCTTTCTTTTAGACCTTCACTATAGTCCAAACTCTTTCACTGTTCTATTAGAACATGTGATGAAAATCGTATGTGACTCATGCTCCTTGGGAAAAACTGGGGAGGATGTGTTCATGAAGACATTCACATATGTTAATATTAAGAAATAATTATCACAGCTTACACCAGTGACTTTTGTTGGGACTGCAGCTTCCAGAATCCCCAACCTGCTACCTAGGAATCCTGTGCATGGTCGTCTTAGTAGGTCTCTTTTCCATGTTCTCTGAAATACGCATCAGCCTTGGTATGCATTGGGGTGACTTTCCATCAGTGGCCCTGTGCAGAACAGGCTCTGGAAGAAGGAAAGACTGGCTCCCTTGAGCCAACAAACGCTCTTAATTAACAATGCACAAATTAAATCAGCTTTCCCCTCCCACTGAAGTGCTTCATTAGAGAGCTGCTCCACCTGGGTCCCAGCTGCAGCTCCGGCAATGCTGGGAGGCTGGCTCATTCTGCTCCCTTGTGGCCCAGGAGCCCAGCTGTGGGCAGCCCAGCTCAGCAGGAGACTTGGCTCTGAATGGTAAACAGGCTGCCTTCCAGATGATGAATTGCTGCTGTTTGTGGACTTGACCAAAAGCAAAGAAGCCTCCAGTAAGAGTTGGGAGGGCTCCGGACGTCTCCTAGTACACACCAGACACATGATTCAGTGGTTTGTAAGGCTGCTCTCCTCCTTCCAAGCCATGCTTTAAATTAAAATGTTATATTGCACTATGTTCTCTACAAGGGCAGCCAAAAAGGGATCACATGTGTGTGTGGGGGGGGGGGGCACTCCTGTTGTTTATGTGGCCTGTGATCCCTCCCGACTCTTCAGATCCAAAACAACTTGAATTGCTTATTCTTGAAGTCTCCAGGAACTGCAATTCAACTTTTAAATAAGCTGGAATTCCCTCCTCCCCAGCACTGTTTGATATAAAAACTGAAATTTTGTTTAAAAGTCAGGCACTTCCAGTTTTATTTTGTTTTTTTCACTGTCTGACTGGGCCATGGGAAATTTGGGGATTTAGTGTAGTTGCTCAGACTTAGTGTAGTCGCTCATCCCCTCTTCTCCATGTAACTTTCCAGACTAGGAGGCAGAATGGGATTTTAAAAAGCCATCAACCATTTCTGAGAGTTTTCCTTTTGTCCAGCATGCTATTTTCCTCAGGATAGTAAAGTGTTGATGGACATTTACAAAACCAATTTCTTTGCCTTCAATGGTTTCTATCTACCTGGACGTTACTCTGAACCGTGCTCTGACCTACAAGAAGCACTGCCTGAATATCAAGCAAAAAGTGGGCGCTAGAAACAATATCATACGAAAGCTGACTGGCACAACCTGGGGATCACAATCAGATAAAGTGAAAACATCTGCCTTTGTGCTATGTTACTCTGCTGCTGAGTATGCATGCCCAATGTGGACACACATCTCATCATGCTAAAACAGTGGATGTGGCTTTTAATGAGACATGCCGCATTATCACAGGGTGTCTGTGCCCTACATCACTGGAGAAATTACACTGTTTAGCTGGTATTGCACCACCTGACATCCATAGGGGAGTAGCAACCAATATTGAAACACCAAGGCAGTGACATCTCCAGCCCACCCCCTGTTTGGGTATCAGCCAGCATGCCAACGACTTAAATAAAAAAATGATTTCTAAGATCTACAGAGACACTCGCTGGAACACCTCAGCAAGTGAGAGTCCAAAAGTGGCAGGCTCAAACCCAGAACCTCAATCAATGGCTGGTACCAAATGAGACTCCCCCCTGGGCACACAGAAAACTGGGCAACTTGGAAGGCGCTGAACAGATTGCGCTCTGGCACCACGAGATGCAGAGCCAACCTTAAAAAATGGGGCTACAAAGTGGAGTCCACAACATGCGAGTGTGGAGAAGAGCAAACCACAGGCCACCTACTGCAATGCAACCTGAGCCCTGCCACATGCACAATGGAGGATCTTCTTGCATCAACACCAGAGGCACTCCAAGCGGCCAGCTACTGGTCAAAGGACATTTAATAGAATACCAAGTGTGAAAACTTTGTGTTTTGTTTGTTTGTTTGTTTTTAATGCAATATAACTGTTTTGGTTCGCTCCTGACACGACAAATAAATAAATCTACCAGTCATGTAGAACAGTCTCCTGTAATCTGGTCCCTTTCCAATGTGTTGTACCACAACTCCTATCTTCTCCAGCAGGCAACCGAGCCAGTTTGGAGGGGATGGATGTTATAGTCCAGTACATTTGAAGGACACTACTTTCAGAAGTTGCTGTCTTTGCATGTCACATTCAAAACATCTATCTGCCCAACAAGAGGACTGGACCTCTCTCTGAAGTTCCCCAGATTTCTCCCCAGTGATTGATACATTACTTGTGCATGGTAGATGAGTTTTTTCAAAGTTCCTCTGATATAAAAGCCTCTGATATTTCTTCCCCTACTGGCTTGAGCCATGACCTCCCATATGTAGTATGTGATGTATGTACACCAAGCATGGGCAAACTTTCTAACTTGGGGGCCATATGGTGGAGTGGGGTGGGTGGGCCGGGAGGGAGGGGATTCTCCCCAAGTCCCCTCACTGCCCTTTCCTCCCCTTCCTCTTCTCTCTTGCAGGCAGAAAGTGAAGGAAAGATGCGAAACATTTGGATCTCGAAAGGGTTGGTCTTGGTCAGGATGAGATGGTGGACGGAGGAGAAAAAAGTGTATCCATGAGACCCTGAATTGCCTACTCCTGAGATAGAATCCTAGAGCTGGAAGAGACCTCCAAGGGCCCTCAAGTCCAAACCCCTGCCATGCAAGAAGGCACAATTAAAGCACTCCTGATAGACAGCCTCTGTGGGAAGGCCTTCAGAGGAGGAGACTCCACCACACTCCCAAGCTGCCTATGCCACTCTCCAACAGCTTTTACTCTCAGGAAGTTCTTCCTAATCTTTTCACTCAAATCTCTTTCCCTGCCATTTGAAACCATTGCGCCCTTATCTCTAGAGCAGCAGAAAATCAGTTTTCCCCCCCCTCCTCCTCCACCTCAATGGGACACCCTTTTAAATTTTGAAACATGGTTCTCATATTCCTTCTCTATCTCCTTTTCTCTCCACTAAACATTCTTCAGGAGGAAAGGGGGAAAGAAAATGAGAAGGAAGAAAGTTCGGATCAGAAGAATGGAAGGAAGGGAAGAAAGAGAGGGAGGGAATGAAAAGAGAAGGAGGGACAGACAAAAGGGAAGAAAGGAAGGAAGGAAAAAGAGGGAGAGATGGAAGGAGGGAGGAAAGAGGGAAGGAATGAAGGACAAAAGGGTGGAAGGGAAGAAGAGAGGGAGAAAGAGGGAGGGAAGGAGGAAGGAAAGAGAGAAGGAAGGAAGGAAGGATAGGATGGCGTGAGAGAGGGGGGCCTGAGAAAAGAGCCCCCAACCTGGGTTTACCCATACCTGATGTATACAGTCATGGAAAGCAATGAGAGGAGAGTGCAAGCAATGAGAGGAGAGCGCAGAAAGGAAGCTTCTAGAACAGTGGTTCCCAACCTGTGGGTCCCCAGGTGTTTTGGCCTATAACTCCCAGAAATTCCAGCCAATTTGTCATCTGTTAAGATTTCTGGGAGTTGAAGGCCAAAAGATCTGGGCACCCACAGACTGAGAATAACTATTCCAGAAGATTGTTTAGATTGTTTAGTCTCTGTGAGGAAGAAAGCATGGAGGCTTGCATCAATAGGAGCATAGTGTCTAGATCCAGGAGAGTCATGCTACCCCTCTATTCTGCCTTGGTTAGATCACACCTGGAATATTGTGTCCAACTCTGGGCACAACAATTGAAGAGAGATATTGACAAGCTGGAATGTGTCCAGAGGAGGGTGACTAAAATGATCAAGGGCCTGGAGAACAAGTCCTATGAGGAGCAGTTTAAAGAGCTGGGTATGTTTAGCCTGAAGAAGAGAAGGCTGAGAGGAGACATGATAGCCATGTATAAATACATGAGAGGAAGTCATAGGGAGGAGGGAGCAAGATTGTTTTCTGCTGCCCTGGAGACTAGGACGCAGAACAGATTCCATCTGAACATTAGGAAGAACTTCCTGACTGTGAGAGCCATTCAGCAGTGGAACTCTCTGCCCCGGAGTGTGGTGGAGGCTCCTTCTTTGGAAGTTTTTAAACAGAGGTTGGATGGCCATCTGTGGGGGGTGCTTTGAATGCAATTTTCCTGCTTCTTGGCAGGGGGTTGGACTGGATGGCCCATGAGGTCTCTTCCAACTCTATGATTCTATGATTCTTACAAAGCCCAACAAGCCTCTTCTGCTTTTCCACATTAGGCCCTTCAACCTTCCACTTCCCCATCTTTATGGGGATGGAGTTTGTGGGCCCCCTCAGCTCCCTTTGGAAGCAAAGTAGAAATCTTGTTGTTCGGTGCCTGCTTTGCCCACCCACACAGGTGGGTCTCCTTGGCAACAGGTTCCTCGGGCTCTAATTTTCCTCCAGCCTATTTTGATCGGCAACAAAATGCCAAGGAGATTAATTCTTGTTTGGAGTAAGGCTGGGGGTGGCCGTCTTTGAAGGGGAGAAAATATGGAATATCAAGTTTCCCGCAGGCAATTCACGTCATTGGGCTTGCTGTGCATTCAGCCATCCGCTGTGGGGCCTGACGGTATCAGAGAGCTGGTGGTTGGCTCCCGCTCTTTGTGGGCATGTGCTACATGTTCATTGCATGGTGGGTTTGTTTTGAGGACATCCCCTCCCCAGTTTTTGGTTGTGCGCTAAAGCTTTGAACATGGAAGGAAGGCTGGCATTCAGCTGTTAGAGCACAAAATGGAACAGTAAATCATGAAGTTGCAAGCAGTACAAGCAAACAATTTCCTCCTCAGAGAACATTGTTCTGACTTGTACACTGAATGCTCATTATGCATGCTGTGCCGTTGAGCTCACTATACTTGAGGGACTAACTAGCAACAAAGGAATATAACACACAATTAGGTAGCATAGCTCTGTAGAGTACCTGAGTGGCAAAGGGTCTGAACCAGAAAGTTCCTGACTTGTATTTCTTCTCAGCTAGCTCCTTGTGATGTTGCTTTGCCAACCAACTCTCCCACAGCCTCGGCATTCCCCTCTATTATGGTGTGAGTTTAATTGACTAGCCTTCCTCATAGGTATCCCTGTTAGGGTTCGTGTGAAGTAGCTTTGCCTGAAATCGGGTACTTCCCAGATATTTCAGACTACAACGCCCTTCAACCTTTTCCAGTTTCAGTGGGATGGATACTCAAGCCAAGGTTTCAACCTGAATTTAAAAGGAGCTGTCAAAGGTGCTGAATCCTAACTCCAAACTGGATTCTAAACCTCAGATGCTTCCTTTAAATTCCAAGCAAAAACTTGGAACAGATTGGCCACCCAATGAAATAGAAGACATTGCCTACCACTATTTATTTATTTGTTTATTTATTTATTTTCCACACTTGTACCCCACTCTTCTCACCCCGAAGGAGACTTAGGATGGCCTCACAAAGGGAAAATTCAGTGCTGTATAAAAATATACATATAGGTAAATAAACAAATGCATTCAAATCAACAGAGTTAAAAACATAAACATTAAAACATCAGTTAATGTCACAAAATCCAAATCATATTCCAGGTCCAATCTGAGTAATCATTCCGTTATTTGTAGTCTCTTACTGCGCTGCTTACTGACCGAAAGCTTGTTCCCACAGCCAGGGCTTTAATTTTTTTCCTGAAGGTCAGGAGGGAGAGTGCTGATCTAATTTCACTAAAGAGGAAGTTCCATAGCCAACAGGCCACCACTGAGTAGGCCCTGTCTCTCATCCCCACCAGTCGCACTTACGAGGGGGGTGGGACTGAGGGCAGGGCCTCCTCCAACAATCTTAGCCTCTGAGGAGGATTATAGAGGGAGATACATTTGGACAGGTAAACTTCTAACAGAGAAGTTTCTACTCCACACTTCTGTGACTCACCAAGCCAAAAAATGATTACAGCATAATGATATGCTGCAGGAAATTTTCATAAAGTGTATGTGAATGCAAATCCAGGAAAAGGATGTAAGGCATCTTTATAAAAGCATATTTGTTTCAGCTGACCTTTTAGAATTGACTGCTGTATTACTTTTTTGCAGTGTTGTTCTTGTTTTGTTTGTTTCCTTCTTTATTGTGTATACTTGTTTTCATGCCCTGTTTGAATTTTGATATCTGCTATTACACCTATGAAAAGTGATACCAAAATATTTTAAAAACAAAACACAATCCACAAAAGAGAGATACCTTTATTTGTCAATACATTTATGATGTGAGTTCTGAAGTTTCTACGTTTTCCAGAACCATTGACCTTCTAGTTGTTCTGGACTACAATTTCTATAATCCTTTTTCATTGACCATGCTGGCTGAGGCTTTTGGAAACTGAAGTCCAAAGCATCTGGAGATCCAAAGGTTTCCTGCCAGTATTCTGTGTGATATGATTTTTACATGATACAACTGTGCTGTGACCACACATACAACCAGCAGGTATGTTTTCTAGTCACAAATAAATAACTATGCTACCCAGGGGTGTAATAAAGAAGAGGGAGCAGACTTGTTTTCTGCTGCCCTTGAAACTAGGACTAGGAGCAATAAGTTCAAATTATAGGAAAGGAAATTCCACCTAAACATTAGGAAGAACTTCCTGACTGTAGGATCTGTTCAACAGTGGAACTCTCTGCCTCAGAGTGTGGTGGAAGCTTTTAAACAGAGGCTGGAAGGCCATCTGTCATGGATACTTTGATTGTGCTTTTCCTGCATGGCAGGGGGTTGGACTAGATAGCTCATGTGGTCTCTTCCAACTATTATTCTATGATTCTATGTGACCACAACACAAGGAAACGAAATATAGACCACTCTGTGCATGCAGTTGGGAGAGAGCTGGTTTTAATTCTCTCCCCTTTGTTTTAATTAGGAGAGAGGGAAATCACCCCAGAAGAGTCCAGGGGACAAGAGTTGCACGTTGACCGGAAGGGAGCGATCAGAGTACATGCGATGGAAGAAGGAACGGGAACAAATCGACCTTGAGCGTCTGGCCCGCCACAAGAACGCAAGGGGAGAATGGCGACGGGCTTGGGATGTTGAAAAATCAGATTGCATGTAGGTCATCTCCACACCCAACACAACACTCTACATGCAGTAGCTTCTGCAAAGAGGTCAATGGTAGAAATAATATTCTGGTGGAAACTAGAAAGTTGGCTAGGAAGTAATATCTCTAATCACACTCTTGGGTTGAGTGTTATCTGCGGCTTTTGATTGCAAGAGAAAGAGGATAGTATATCAATATGTCTCTGTCTCAGTACATGGCTCAGAGTCAGTGACCCACAGGGGATCCATTATAATGTTGGATCTATACAACTGATAAAGCAAGGAGGCATTTGAAGATGTTAAGGAAAGAGCCCCTTAGGAAAAAAGATACCATAACTTCTTTTCATTCTCACAAAAAACCACTCTGATTTGTGGGAGTCCACAACCTCCATTACCGAATAAATTTCAGACCTTCCGGAAAGCATTCTGATGAGATATATGGCTTATGATGCTCACGATAACCTAGTAGAAATACTCACAGAATATTCAGTGAGGCCTTTCCCTAGGATCAAAATGTTGAGTGAGGACTAGCTGACTTCATTTAGACTGAAAGCAATAAACTTGTGAAAGTGATTGTCCCTAGGTTCAAGACTGGCAAGATACTGTTTCCAGAAACCCATAATCTAGCTATAGTTCAGAAATATGTAGCTTTTTCATGGCTTTTCAGTAGTTTTATTTATAGTAGCTAACTAGAAACCCCTGGTAGCACAATGGGTTAAACCCTTGTGCCGGCAGGACTGAAGACCAATAGGTCAGAGGTTAGAATCTGGGGAGAGTGTGGATGAGCTCCCTCTGTCAGCTCCAGCTCCCCATGATGACATGAGAGAAGCCTCCCACAAGGATGGTAAAACATCAAAACATCAGGGCGTTCCTGGGCAATGGTCTTGCAGATGGCCAGTTCTCTCACACCAGAACAACTTGCAGTTTCTCAAGTCGATCCTGACACAAAAAAGCAGCTAACTAGAATCTCTTTGTTCATTATGCCATCTTCTGAAAGAAAAATAGAGAAGCATCTTTCCTTCAGTCTTTCTTTGTTCATTTTCCAGAAGCATCTGATTTGCAACTTTGGGGAAAAAAATATTGGATTCAAATCAAGACTCTCCAACCTTAGTTTTCCTGACCTTTTGTCATGGTTAATGACTGACCATGGTAGGGGTTGTAGTTCAACAAAATCAGGGAACACAAGTTTGGGAATCACTGGATTAAACAGAGTCAAATCTGATCCAGTTTTTTAGAAGAAGAAAAAAGTTTTCCCTACATAGCTTTTTGCAAAGTGGAAGGGTCAAAGATGCAGTAGAATTTGCTATTAAAACAAACAAGATGACTTTGTAAAAATACTTTACTTGTAAAGGGCCAATTCATAGTCAATTTTCAGTGTAAATACAAACATGCACAGATTTTTCAGTATTTTCTCATTAAACTTTAAAGTTGAAATAGTCTTTTATTTTCCTCTGCAGGTTTGAGGATACAAAGGATGGGGGACCAATCCTGGAGGGTGCACACAGCAAGAAAGGTCAGGAAAGTTTTTTTTTATACTTTATTAACCCCAAATATGTTGATGCTGGTGTTAAAAAAAGTTCAGCTTTTTGATATTTCTCTCTCACACACACTTTATTTGATTTCTTTAAAAAAACCTGTTCTCAAACCTTTATATCTCTGGCAGTGTGGCTTTGTTTTGAAAAATATTTCTTCGAACACATTCAGATTGTCCAAAATCTCTGGGATTTTGGCTAGAGTTGTACTTGTACTTATACTTATCAGGATTTAAAAAAAATGCGTATGAGAAAGCTCCTGTCCCTGAGCTTGATTTTTGAAACATGTACTCACTTCATAGCTGCAGTCAAAGTACCTACTAGACTTTAATATGATATATCAAACTTCAATTTTTGTGGTGCAGTTCCCAAGAAAATTGAGTCTGTTGTGTTTTTCTAAAATCTAGATCAGGATAGGTTAAGGGTAATTTAAAAGGTTATAATAATTAAGAGGGTGTGGGAACCAGTTAGGAATTATTTAGAGAATGTGCCAAGATGTGTAGTGGAAAAATTAAGATTGAGATTGATATTTCAAATGTAACTTCTGTAGTTTGCTGTATAAATTGCATGTACAAGGAGGGGAGGAGGGGAGTGGGATAAAACAATAAAATAACAATTTTTAAAAAGGTGAAAAAGTGTAGAAGATGGGACAGGTTACTGGGGTAAAAAGCATTGGCATTATTTTTAAATGCCCAGTATTAGTTGCTGGGGCATATGCTTTCTGACATGACAGATCCCTTTTATTTTTTGTGAATACCACAATCCCTACTCAGAATGGGGGATGGATAGTTTACTCCTGAGTAAGTGAATAGAGGAACCATCTCCCTTTCACATTCCCTGGACCACCTCCAATCTCATTCACTGTTACCATTCCTGCTCCTTCCCCTTCGTCTCCGGGTAAGGTCCTATACCTGTCCAGCTTTGGGGACATGCAACTCTCTCCTGTTTCCTTAGCAGCAGGATGGTCACTGTCAATTTCTCATGAATTTCCAAGGCTTGATGTAACTTTTTATACCCAGGGCAGGGTTTAGGGTGTTGCTTTTTCCTGTCCCATGAGATTCCCATATAGGCAATATCCATTGCTTTGGTTCCTTCTGTACTTTTGGACAGTCGCACTCATTACGTGTTATGTGATGTTTGCCAAAAAGGTCAGACTTTCCTCATTACAGTTACCAGGTTAAACATTCCTGAATGCTGGACTATAGCAATACCTATAATTTGGAGTGTTTACATCAGGAAACTGTGCTGTGTTGGGGGATCCAATAGGGAAATTTATTGTCCTATTGTTTTTGTGCTTTGTTCATTCAAGGGGGAAGAAATGCCCGCAAGTCCCAACATCGATCCTTGCCTTCTGAAGGAAAAGGTAAGTTGAAATCAACTGGAATGTGAAACCTGTGAGCCTTTTCAGAGCAATGTCCAAAAACATTAAAGAGAGAAGGATGCTTTAGTCAAAAAACTATTTCTCCCCTAAATACTTATTTTTCCAGGCTTAGAATGTTTCCTTTGTAGTTTTTATCAAGCCTTCAGCTACTGTTTGTTATTTTTCACTTTTAGACCAGTTTTGACTTATGGAAGCTCTATGAATGAGAAATCTCCATGAACCTCACCCATGTACACAATAGATCAAGACTTGCAAATTCAGAGCTGTGGCTTCTTTGATTGAATCAATGCATTTGTAATACTGACTACCTCTATTTCTACTACCTTGCACTATTCCATGTTTTATTACCTTTTTCAATGAGCCATGTCATTTCATGATGTGTTTCAAATATAGTAGCATCCATTTAATGGTTTGTTTTTTTTTTTTGCTTCTAGTCAGAGTTCAGGTTTGATATCCTTTCGGACCCTTATATTTGTTATCTATCTATTTATTGGATTTATATCCCACCTTTCTCCTAATCTGGGATTCAAAGTATCTTGCAATAATGTGAAAAAGATCAATTTAAAACATTAATTTAAAAAAGTTAAAAATTGAAAATATTATGGCATGGATGGTTCTGGCTTTGATGTTTAATAATAGCATTACAGATAATGTTTTGGGGTTTCCTTTGGAGCTGCTTATGTTGCTTCTGCTGCTTGGGTGGTGGCCTGTGACATTCATGCTTAATGGAGTTGTTTGAGAAACTGAGAAAAGAAACTGAGAAAAGAAAAAGCGATAATTCCACCCACCCGGTATATTTATCAGTCTTATACAGCCTCGGCTCTTTCCCTGTTGGGGATGTATAGCTGGGCCGGCAGCCAAGAAGAAAGCTCATGAACATCATGGCAGAAACCATGGATGCAAGAAGGAATGCTGGGAATGGCACCATAGGAGAGGCTGTGTGGGCATATTGTGGGGATTATAGTTACAAGAACAAGTAAAATTAAGCTGTACTTCCAGGGTGGCACAAGAAGGTTGTACTGCCTGGGCTTTATGGCTAAGGAGTATGAAGGTGTTGTTGAATACATTTCAGAGGAAAACTGGCAAAATTACTTCTGAGTATATATATATATTTACTATGATCACCCTATGAAATTCATGGAGATCACCATATGTCACCATGTAAATTGAAGGCACATGTGTGCACACACACAATGTACAGAAAAATAGTTGAAGGAAAGTGCCCACAAGATATTTGGATGACTATAGACAACACCAGGACACTTGCCTGAATTATTATTATTATTATTATTATTATTATTATGTTTATTTATATCCCGCTTTTTCTCTCCATAAGGAAACTCAAAAGTGACTCAGAGGTGCAAGGGAAGTGCCCACAAAAATAATATTTGGATGACTAAAGACAACACCATTAAAAGCATTACAATACAATTTGCATTAAACATCATTAGTATTAAAAACAATTCAGGTTAAATCCATAAAATATTAAAAACCATAGCAGCTCCTGACATGAACCAGTATGAAGAGGACTGAAAAACACACTTTGACTCCTGAAGTTCACTTGTGATACATGTTATATATCCACCAATTTCCCCATTGCCCTCTTCTCTAGGGACTGTGCAGACTGAAATCTGTTCAGAAAGGTTCAGCATTCATAGATCTTGTATTTTTAGATTTCAGCTTCCATTTGTTCGAGGCAATGATCAGAACCATGGGAATTATAGTCCAAAATGCCTCAAGACTGTCAGGTTGAATGAAGCTGATGCACCATATGCCTCAAGGTTATGCAGACAGACATTCTTCATCGTCCCTGGCCGTTGCTAGTAGTACTCTCTAATGAGCTGGAATTTCTAAGTCCCATGGCTATTGGGGCCCACTTCAATCAGGGAAGCCATGTTTGCATGGCAGGACAGAGCAATGTAAAAGCAGTGGGCTACTGGAACCTCAAACACATTTTTTCCCATGTGTACAGAAAGTGTGAGCCATTGTGGCAGGTCTGTGAGCCACTTTTTTCCACCTGGACCTCCAAGCTACATGGACTACTAAATTTTTTTTTTAAAAAAAACGAAGCAATAAGAAAACAGAAGTGCACTTCTGCTTTTGAAATATGATTTTCAAAAGTTACAAAATGCAAGAGATCTCCTACAACATATTTAAAGAGTGAGTTGCCACTCCAGGAGAAATATACAAAGGGATCTTACAGCACCTTTGAGACTGATCCAGAGAAGGAAGTAGGCAGCACAAACGTTTGTACATTCAGGGCATGACAACACTGGCTACTGGCCACTGATGCTTGACTGGTCATGGATTGACTCATGATGGCAGCCACATGCCTGAGGCTGAATCCTGTGCAATGCCACATTGTTCTCCTCACAGAGTAGATGGGCTGGCTCCACATTGGTACCACTGGTCTGTTGGATTTTCTGCATCGTTGCCACCACTTCCTCACCAACCTTAGAGCTCCATGGAAAGTCTCTCCAGTGTGATGTTACTTCTGAAAAGGTCTGAAATGGTACCTGAGCATGTGTTTTAAAAGAAAAGTTTACTCCCTCCTCCATGTTGATTGCATGGGGAAGGGAGATGACCTTGAATTCTGCCATTGGACAACTTATTGGGCCAGATGAGGCCTAGTCCAGTTGTCAGTGTGGCAAAAATAAACCTAAGTTACTCTGGAGTTTCTTGGAAACACTAGATTTTCTCAGTCTTTGCTCTGCAATGAACAAAGTCAAGCTAAGACCAAAAAAAAAATAAAAAATGGATCATCCCCAGAAGTAGCTGTACGTCATCTGGAATGCCAGTACCGTCTTTGGGATGAGTCCACCTTTTTGTTGTTATAGATACAGCCTATATCTACTTCATCAAAAACATCTGATGACATAGAATTAGTCTAAAAAAGCTTATGGTAAAAACATTTTTCTCTCAGTCTTAAAGGTGGTATGAGATCCCTTTATATACTGATCTAGATGAACACATCTATGTCACTGAATTTTATCACTCCAGGGGAAGCAATTCATTATTTCCAGAAAGTTGTATATAATCCTTGGACTTCACTTTGCACCTTAGGCATTGATGATGATAATGCTTTATTTACAGGCCACCCTATCTCCCCAGGGGGACTCAGGGCAGCTTCCAGGCATAAAGGCAAACATTCAATGCCTTCGTGATAAACAAACAAATAAATAAATAAGAATGCAAGGTAACATCAATATAAAGTAAAGCTGAAGTGGGGCTGCTAGTCTGAATTGTAATTACAGCAGCTATTTTGTCCATTGGATCCCTCTATGATATACAGTAGAGTCTCGTTTATCCAGCCTTCACTCATTCAACATTCTGTATTGTCCAACACAATCTGCCTCCTGCCTGGATCCACTGCTGTTTCACTACATTGTGATGTTTTGGTGCTAAATTCATAAATAAAGTCATTACGGCATAACGTTACCGTGTATTGAACTGCTTTTTCTGTCGGTTTGTTGTAAAACATGATATTTTGGTGCTTAATTTGTAAAATCATAATGTAATTGGATGTTTAATAGACTTTTCCTTAATCCCTCCTTATTATCCCACATTTTCGCTTAACCAAAGTTCTGCCAGCCTGTTTATGTTGGATAAGTGAGACTCTACTGTATTTAAAATGGTATAGCTTATTTCATTATTTCCAGAACATTAGCACAGGATAGAGAGAGAAAAAACAAGTCATGTGGTATATCATGACTCTATTGACTAGGCTCTATTGACTAGGAGAGGGAAGTAGCTAGGAAGAACATGGTTGCTTCCTCTGATTCTCCTGCCGACATCCCCTACCTGACCCTGTTGTCTCACTCTGCCTAATGGAAGGGCTGGCCTGGCTCTTGTAGCCTGATGTTGAATGGATTAGCTCTGTATATGGCATCTTTTTCAGGTGGAGGACAACACAGACGGAGCACAAGCGACTCTGCATCCAGAACATTGCCAGTCATGAGCAGTAAGGCCAAGGGGAAGGATAGACTCACTGGCAGAGCTAGAAGGTAGGGAATTTTGTTGTCTGGACTTGTTCTTTGCCTCACTTTGAGAAAGAAATTGAGTTACAGGACAAAAATAATTTGTCTTTATTAAACATTTATTATTACAGCATCTGCTAATTGACCTAGATTGATATTAAAACTGCATTTCTTAATGAAAACAATATATTCTGATTACAGAGAAATCCCACACATCTTCACTTGCTTTCTCCTCTTAATATAGGAGCAGGGCAAAGGGATTTACTGCTATTATTTCCACAACTAACCTGGCCCATTTGTATTTTCATGGAGAAAATAAGCTAGAACATAAATGGGGAGGGGGGCATTTCCTGCTTTTTTTGTTGTTGTTTCAGGAGCAACTTGAGAAACTGCAAATCACTTCTGGTGTGAGAGAATTGGCCGTCTGCAAGGACGCTGCCCAGGGGACGCCCAGATGTTTTCATATGTTACCATCCTTGTGGGAGGCTTCTTTCATGTCCCCACATGAGGAGCTGGAGCTAATAGAGGGAGCTCATCCATACTCTCCCTGGATTTGAACCTGCAACCTGTCGGTCTTCAGTCCTGCCAGCACAAGGGTTTAGCCCACTGCACCCCCGGGGCTGCTGGTTATATCAGTAACTTGGCATTACTGTATTTTCTCTTTCCCTACTCATATCTCCCATTTGTGAATATCAGAGGGTCCAAAAGGAATGCCTCTGTTCAGCTCTAATTAATGATAACAGATAACAGGGTTATTTTCTGTGCAAAGAGCAAGAGGGGGTGTCAGAAAAGGTGTGTGTGGAGAGGGGGTGATGATGTCAGTTGAAGAGCAACTCTTGGAGTGGAGCCATCACAGCATCCAGTCTATCCGCTTGGTCTTTGGTGACCCATTTTGTGATTCTATAGAATTCCTATCCTTATTCCTATCCATTGCTGCCACCTCCTCCACCATATGAATGGTTTAATTCTTTGCTCTCAAAACTTTGAGTGACTGCCTGTTAGCTGGTCCCATGGGTATTCATTAGCAATCTTTAAAAAGATTTTGAGGGCAGAGGGAGTGGTTCATTGAATGCACATTTCCTGCAATCAGAGTTATACTGATGAATGTAAACTATGCATACATTGGTTTGCTCTATTTTGTACTATGTTAATGGAACTTCATTAGACACCTTTTTTAAAAAGATGAAAGCAATACAGTTGTTGCCCCATATATGTGGGTTTGACTTGTTTCCAGATCTGATTACTAGAAAATTTGATCAAAATATTTTTCTAGGAATCTCTAGGTCCTCTAGTGCGACTCTATAGTCAGCTTAAACCAGATGTTGACCATAGAGTCACACTGGAAGATAATACAAGTAATAATAATAATAATAATAATAATAATAATAATACTTTATTTATAACCTGCCCTCTCTCCCCAAAGGGAACATTTCCAAAAAATAACAAAAATGGAAAACATTCAATGCCCAAAAACAGACAAACAACAATCAAGGCAGAACATGAAATAAAATGAACGCAATATAACTTATAAACAACCAAAAACAGGGGCTTAAACTAAATAAACATAATAAACCTAAGGAGTCAAATCAATTAAAACACAATACGTTAAAATCTAGAGATTCTTAGAGGGATCACCTCTCTAGGTCTTCCAGTGTGATTCTATGAATCATAGAGCCATGCTGGAAGACCTAGAGAGTCATACCACTTCATCACACTGGGATTTTTTCTCCCTTTGAAGCACTTTGGTCCCTGCTGAACACTATCACTTAACACTCGGCAGACCCTGCCCCATTTAACATCAAAGTGACAAGTAAGTGTTGAAGACGTTTTCTTGGCAACAACGGAGAAATAAATGGGTTTCAGGTAGCTCCAATGGAGCTACCCACATTTTTTGAGTTATTTCCCCTTTGTAATGGGGGAAAGGGCAATATGTGTTGCTACCCTTTCTCTCATCTGATGGGGACAGGGCGCAAACGCATCTTGTTCCATCCCTCACATGTGATGGGGGAAGGAGGGAGGGCACATGGGGCACCACAAGGTGCCCTGTGCACCTGCCATTTTGCCGTCAATTGCCAGTGAAACAGCACACCCCCTCAACATGTGAAGAGGTCTCCAGAGATGCCTTCTTTTAGGTAATAAAAATAGTATTTTTTATTTGTGGCTTTTCCACTTTTAGGGGTATCCTGTGCCCTTAACTCTAGTGAATGTGAAGAGCTGACTTCTAGCTTAGTGGCAAAAGATGTGCTTTCCCTAAAAACTTTCCAACTTCAGTCATCGGCATCTTTCAGTAAATGGTCAGTTAGCAATTGAAGGAAACTGCTACAGTTCTGATATGTGGATAGTCTCTGAGCCATAAAATTTATTTGGTAATGCTGTCAATCATTATCCCAGCCTTACAAATGTCGCAGTGTTGACGTAAGAACAAAGGCAATAAGGAGAGTGATGCATGACATCTTGAGCATAGGTGACAAAAACGGGAACATCACTAATGAATACATAATTAAATTAGCTGTTTTTATAGACTTGAAAACAAATGTAGTTAAATAGCATTATTTTACAACTTTTACCCTCTTTTGTAGTTGCTGGACCTCACTATCATACCAATACAATTGGATAGTTCAACTGTGAAGTATGGGCTAAAAAATCAGATCTGCTCTATAAGTCCCTCAGGCATGTTCCATCTCTGTACATTTAACCTTAGACATGTCCTTGGGTGCACAACAAAACAACTGCAAACTATTTTAAAACATTTCTGTTTCCTCAGAGGCTTTCCAAAGGAAGTATTTTAACAGTCTACACAAAACAATGAACTATAAAATGCATAACATATTTTAAAATTGAGCTTGAGAACCCTACTATTATTTTGAACTACAGTCCTATGTGTCCCCTAGCCAATGTGATCACTGGTTATGGTTGCTATGAGTTTATTGAAGATGCAGACTACAATAAATAATTTTCCAAGTTCCAAAAAAAACAACAACAGAAAACATTAGACAAAAGTAAAGGCCACATATACGAGATCAATTTGCATGCATTTTCCTGTAGAAAATAGAGGGGGGAAACACTCAGAGAGGAAGAAATGTATAGACTGCAAGATGTAGACTTCTCCATAGAAAAGCCCCCCTCTCTTGTGTCTTCCAGCCCAACAGATTTCAGTAACACATATGTTAGTCAGGTCTGATTTTGATTGTATTGCTGTTTGTGCATACTGCACTGTGCTAAGTTCTGTGATGTTTTAAAAGAAATACAATAAATTATTAATAATACTGTAAGCACACGAAAATCTGGAAACTGATTTTCCTCCTTTGCTTGTTGGTACATGTCAAATGCAACACATTCTAGAATACACTCTCTTTTTTAGACTTCACTCTCAAGCTGCAGCAGACAGTTCCATAAATCACTGGCACATGTTCTTAGTCAAATGACAAATGCCTTGGCACAGAAATTGGGTTTTTATGATTTTATGAATCACAGTCTAAACAATCAGTTTGTTAAAGATTAATGGATTCTGCTGGGTCTCAGAGATTAAGAGAATAACAATATGTATAAGATGAAGTTTGTTTCAGGAAAGATATTGGGATGTCAGCTGGGTCACTGTGCTGAGAGGGAAGAAGGGGAAGGCATGCTGCTTCTCCTCTCTTCTCGACATAGCAACCCAGCTCGGTTCTGTGACAAGAGGAGAGGCCAGGCCAGGTTTGGTCTGGCTGGAAGGTGCGTGGCTGATGAGCCACGCAGCTTCCTCTCCTCCCCTCTCGGCACCATGACCCAGCTGGGTTGCTATGCTGAAAGAGGAGGAAGTGTACAGCTGGTAGAAGCCTGCAAAGGGCTTCTTTCAGCCCCACGCCTTCCCACCAGGACCCTCACTTGAGTATAAGTCGAGGGGGCCTTTTTCAGCATTAAAAATGTGCTGAAAAACTAGGCTTATACTTGAGTATATAAGGTACCTCTTGGTCAGAGCTATCAAAAATACATGAATGACTACAACAGGAGGTCTGCTGAGCCTTACTGATCTTGCTTTTGAGCATTTCTTGAACAAAAAAGTCTGCAAATTTGTAGCTCATGCCATCTTTTTCTGTATGCTTTGAAGTCAAATTCCAACATCTGCATCCTTGTGTTAAGTAGGATATTCCTCAAAAGAAACCAAAGAGGTTAGAATGCTTTTTGACATTGCATATGTCCTCTGTTTTACAGATGGGATGCCAAGGAGGGTGAAGAAATGTCCTTTGGAAAGGATGAACTGGATAATCAGGTGAGTATATAGAATATTTGTTCAGATATGGAAAAGCAAAGTGGTATTTTTGAGTCTTGCGCTATGCTTGTAGATCTCAAGAATGAATCCCGAAGATCTTCTGGCCCTGATTCTTTATTCACAGAACTAGAACAGAATCTCCTGTTAATTGAAACCAGATTGTTCCCCATTTCATTGACAGGGAAAATCCCCAGCTGAGTTGGATTGTAGCTCCTTTCAGCAATATGTGGAAGATCTTGTGTTCCACTTATCTGCTGTGAATAAATAGCTTGATAAGCACTACATAGAGTTTTTGTCTTCTGAAATTCTAGAAGTCCAGTAGCAGTGAACAACTGAAGAACCAAGTTGAAGCCAGTGAAGGAATAAAGGAACAGCATTGCTTACAAACACTGCTGGACAAGAACGAGACACCACAGGAACGTAGTGTTTCTGTGCCAGAAGCCAAAAGAAGTGAAGCAAGTCTATCTGGAGGTGAAGAAGGCCAGGGCAACAAGGAAAATGCCAGTAGATATCTTACCCAAGAGGTGTCTGCAGTCAGCACTGATGAGACTGAGGCAGAGCATAACCCCAGGAAGACAGTAATTGTGGCTGATATGTCTCCTGAGGACAACTGTATGCACAACAATTCTTGCCAGGAAGAATACCAACTGAATCAGGCATCTGGAGGTATCCTGGAGGAGATCGGTTCTACTGTTTATGAGGATGGTTTAGACAAAAATACACTGTCTGAAAGGAGCCTTAATGGTGAAGACTGTGCAAAAAATCTTAGTGAGTCAACAGTAAAGACAGATGATGGAGACCAAGGACCGTCAACAGACAAACAAGTGGGAGAGATCCAGATCACTGATCCCAAGAGACAAATAATCGTTGGGATAGAAAATGATGACCCCACTTGCCTTGTGAACAATGAGGAGACTGAGTCTCCAGGTAAAGAAGTGCCGGACAGAACTAATGAATCTTCACAAGAAGGGACAAATGTGAGAAGCAAGACACAAGACCAATCTCTGCCATGCAATCAGGAAGCACAGAATTAATAAAAGGCAGAACATGCTGGGATCCCAAGAGGCTGAAGGTGAGTCCATTTGACACTTAACATGGGTGTGTGTGTTTGTGTTTGTGTGTGTGTGTGTTGATTTGTAGGGTTATAGATTGCCCTATCCCAGTGGTTCTCAACCTGTGGGTCCCCAGATGTTTTGGCCTTCAACTCCCAGAAATCCTAACAGCTGGTAAACTGGCTAGGATTTCTGGGAGTTGTAGGCCAAAATACCTGGGGACCTACAGGTTAAGAATCACTGCCCTATCCCAAGACCTCAAGGCTTATGACTCACATACACCAAAGAGACACATTTTGCAACCAACTGGGAATTTATCCTGCCCAAGCACTGTTGAAACTAATCACAACACTGCAAGAGCATATTAGTATTGCTTCTTGCCTCTTTCTTGAGACAGACAGTTCCTGATTTGTTTTTCGTTTTGCAGTAAAAAATGTAACTTTCCCAATCTCTGCATCCCCTATTTCAGCAGGGGCAGAACAGCTATATAGGCAACCATAGCCCCCTTAGTACTCTATTCTCACTCCCAACAGCAACTCACCTCAACCTCTACATACAATCAATACATCAAAGTATTCAAATACACTAGTTTCCCCTTATCCATAGAAGATGTATTCCAAGACTTCCCCATGGATGCCTGAAAATGCAGATAGTATTAAATCCTTTCCCAAGTTTTTTAGGACCATAACTGACCGGGGGGGGGGGGGGGGGGGGGGGGGTAGTAACAAGCCATGAAAAGGAAAACCATGGATGATGAAGAAATTACTGTATAAATCCATGATATCACAGGTTTCCAGACAAATTCTACTCAGATGTATACCTCAGCCAGCATCTTCCTTGCTCAAGGCAAGGCCAATAGGATGTGGGTTTCCAAAGGTTATAGACTAGAGAAGCAAACAAAGAATATTAAAGTGAGTGAATGTTAGCCATCACTCTACAATAGCAGTAAGAACTGTACAAGCAAGTGAGCCAAAGAAAATAATATAATTCCCTCAGTTATTTCTTAGCTTTCATAACTTTTCCTGTATTTGAAGAAGGGGCTTAACTGTATTGTTTTTAGTTTTTAACATTTTAATTGCTTGTTTTATTTTTTAATATTGTTAATTGTTAAATTCCAGTTTTATTCTGATTTTTTAAAACTATATTATAAATTATAAGCTGACTCAAATATCAGTTTGGGGGAATATTTATTTACCATATTTATACCCCTCCCTTTTCTACCCCAAAGGGGACTCAAGGTGGCTTTACACATACACAATTATTCAATGCCTTAAAATGATGATGATGATGATGATGATGATGATGATGATGATAATACCTTCCAAGCTCTGAATGCACTCTATTGTTTAAAACGTTTTGGTCTAAGACAGGTGTTAAACCATGTTGACACAACAGAAAGTTTGCCATGGCAAATGACAAAGATAGTGAGGGTAGACTGATGACCAAGTCTAATGCAGAAAGGTTGGAGGAGGCATGTATATTTAGCCTGAAGAAGAGGTGGCTAAGAAACAACAAGATAGCCTTCTGTAAACATCTGATATACCTGAAGGGCTGATACAGAGATGATGGAGCATCATTCTAGAGGGCAAGACTCGAATCAGACTAGTTTAAATTACAAGAATTAGAGTTTTGATTAAATCTCAGGAGGGGTGTTCTGGGACTGGAATGGTCCGCCCCTGAAAGTGGTAGGTCTCCTTTATTAGTGATTTTAAAGCAGAGGCTATCTGACAATTTGTAAGGAATGCTGTAATGATGGATTTACTGCATTGACAGGAGAATTGACTATTATACCTTTCAGGATCCCTCAGATTCTATGATTCTGGAAACAAATAACTTTTAGTGGAGTTCATTAAATCCTATGAGGTAGCTACCTCTACAGATTTATAGTACTACTGTTCTGCAGATGCAAGGAATTACTTCTTGGACAGAAATCCTTTACACATAATTTTAAATCATTACCACAACCTGTCCAACTTCATTGCCTGGAATGACTGTAATTTTTCTATTGCATGATAGGACGCCTTGGTTCCAGTTCCTCACCACCTTTCTTAGCCTTGGCATCCATTAATGGAATTGGTGCACCAGTGATAGGTTTCATGTGGAGAGCTATTAACTGTGAGCTATGTCTACACGAAAGATCTCAGAAACACTTGACTTTCACTCTTCGCTATTAGTATTTAATCCACTGACACATTTTCTGCCAAGGAATGATAAAATGTACTGAGCTGCCCAGCCTGGCGTTGTGAAGTGCTGCTCTTTACGCAAAATAAAAATGGCCCTAGAGGTGCTTAAGGACTTCCTCAAAAACTCAAGAACATAATCTCTGTCCCAGAGTTTGCAGAGGTTAGTGTTTTGAATGAGAATGCCCATAGTTTTACAACTACTATCTGCTCTTTCCCTTCCATTCGTGCATGTATCTGCACAGACTAGTGGGTACTAGTGAAACTGAAATGACTGGAGGAGGTAAAGAGGAGATAGCCTTTCTTTCCATTCATTTGGGCCCATCTTCTCACCACCCACCTCACATGCATCTGCTCTGATGTCCTTGCCAAAAGTGTCTCTCTGTACGGAGCTCTTCAACTCAGCAGTTACACAGACGTGAGGAAATTCCCAAATCTAGACAGGTTGTTTCAGTAGTTACTTATTTACTTAGGTGATCCCTCATAGACTGAGGATGATGATCCCCCAAGTGTAGTGTCTTAGTGGTGGGTCCGTAGGTGGCTGAGGAGCTCTATCTGCATGTTCTCCCACAGTGAGGACATTGGTTTCTACGTGGAAGGTGGTTCCGGTCAGGGTTGGCTTGGCGCTCCTTCTTCCCTTTTGCCCTCCATTCGTGCCTCTTCAAATTCCACAGCACTGCTGGTCACAGCTGACCTCCAGTTAGAGTGCTCAAGGGTCAGGGCTTCCCAGTTCTCAGTGTCAATGCCACAGTTTTAAGGTTGGCTTTAAGTCCATCTTTAAATGTCTTTTCCTATCCAACAACAGTACATTTCCCATTCTTGAGCTGGGAGTATAGTAACTGCTTTGGGAGACGGTGATTGGGCATTCATATGGCATGGCCACTCTAGCAGAGTTGATAGTGTAGGAACATAACTTCAGTACTGGTGGTCTTTGCTTCTTCCAGCATGCTGACATTTGTCTGCCTGTCTTTCAGTAGTACTGTGTCTCAGAGAACAATGTCTCTTATAGGTAGCATTGTTAGACTAAAATTGGGCAGACCAGAATTCAGATGCTCACATAGTCATGATGCTCAGTCCAGTATCATCATCATCATCATCATCATCATCATCATCATCCCACCTTTTCACTCTAAAGTCGTTTGTAAGAAAGAGCTGCTTTGGGTCTCTTTTCACATGTAAGAAAGAGCCAAAGTTCTGTAGTACGAAAAACAAGGGTTGCATGCAGAGGGTCCCAAGTTTAACTTCTTCCTTCTTTAAGTGTGGTTGTGGGAAAATTGAATACCTGGAGAACCATCTTCAGACTAGGTAGACAATGGGCTATATTGGGCTGGACAACATGTGGCCCATAAAGACAAATGAAGGCCTCCGTCCACATGGACACTGCGCCCACATTCACACTGATGTCTCTGTTTCTGCTGCTGAATTTGATCTGGTAGCCATGGTAAGAATGCATCACATTTCATTTAAACAAAGCACATGCTTCCTGTGCATCTTATTATAAAGTGAACCATGCTTCCAGAAATAGAGAGTTTTCAAACTCCTGGAGAACCCTGGAAACCACAAGAAGAAGTCTGGGAGTTGCTTTGCTACTTCATTCCATTTGAGAAGGAGAAGACATAGAGATTTTAATTGATAAATATACTGTTTTTGTTGTTTGCTAACATGGGGTGCATCTACATTTTAGAATTAATGCAGTTTGACTGTCATAACTCAGTGATGTGGTATCAAACTGCAATAATTCTACAGTGTTGATTGTATACATTGACACACAAAGGGTACATGTAGGCCATCAATGCCAATGATAGTGCATCGTGACGATATGCTTTAATGCATATTTCATATTTTTGATAGCTGAATTGTATATTAAAGCTAATATTTTGTACTTTAAAAGTCTATATTTTGAAATCTATATTGCATTTTCTTCAGTGTAAGGTGCTTTGACTCCAGGCTCTGGGACTCAAAGTGAATGATTGATTGAAGGGGTATAATTAATGTTAATGAGCTGTAAACATAACAAGCAAAGTTGCTTGTCCTTGGGAAGATATTGGTAGAACTGTCACTGTAGCCCTTATCTGCCCTTTCAGAAGCTTTTAGTATGAGCTTCACTTAGGTGTTGTGCTTGTCTCTAACACCAAAGGAATCACAGGTATTGGCACTGAGGGATTTGGTTGACAGATCCATCTGCTAATGGACCCAAATGTTTGTGGTTTGAATACAGTGCTGAGGGAGAAGCAATGCATTGAAAGCTGTCATATAGAACTGTAGGAGTAGCTGACGGAAAATGAAAGCTGTTAGAATACAGAATGAAATTAAGTGAATCTCCACGTAGCTTTGGTATAAAATCCCACTCCTCCTATAGACCACATTTCCAGCCACCTTTCTTAGTCTGTGGCTCTGTCATGCCCACTTTTTGCTATTGCCTTTGTTTTCCTTCTCCCCATTGAAGTCAGTGGCACCAGATTCTCCTGGGATCTTTTAAGGAAGATGATCTGGGAAATATTTTCCTAAAATGTATCCTAAATCAGCTTTTCAGTTGTTTTATTTCCACTGGTTTTTGTAGAAAGTTTGTCAATATTACTATTTTGGGTATCCAGTTCTTGTTTTCTTCTCCCAGTAGTCTTCTTGCCCGTAAATCAAACATTTCTCCTTCTTTCATATGTTTTTAAAAGCTTTGAATCACTGTTATCATACTCCTTTCACTGAGGCATGGATTTTCATAACGTTTTGCTTTCAGGGAATTCTGTTCATATTGATCTGTTTGCTGGGAATGTCCACCAATATGGCATCAAGGCCCAACACTTGGAAAAGTTATATTGGGGGCCTACAGCTTGCAAAAATTT